AAAGAAGGTGTGGTTTTTTTATATAATGGAGTACTACTCTGCCATAAAGAAGGATAAGTTGAGACATTTCTAGTTAAATGGATGCACTTTGAGACCACACTCTTAAATGAGATAAATCGGACACACATGTTTAAATATTGCATTCTCTGGTGTTGCAAAATTAAAAGTGGAAATAAGGACCAAAATGTATAATAGATATTGGGAACTGGGGAGAAAATGTTCAAATGAGATGGGGAACAAGGCAGGGAGCAGGAGAAAGGACAAGAAAAAAAAACAGAAGGAAAAATGGAAACAAAGCTTTTGTAAATAAGGTGGGACAGAGGGGTCAAAGGGCAAGGAGGGGCATGGGAAAAAAAGAAGCAAGATATATCATGTACAGGTACAAATTCCCTATGATGAATGTTATCATTATGTATATCTAAAATGTACCAATAAATATTCTGCTTCAAAACCTATATATATATATATATATATATATATATGGCAGAAATACACACACACACACACACACACACACACATATATATGGCAGGAAGACAGATCTTTCTCAAGTAGGAAGGGGATCAGTATGTAAGAAGGAGGGAAGGAGGGGAGAGAAAGAGAATGAAAAAAAGAATTAAGATGTGTTACGTACATGTACCAGTAACCAAGAAGAGTGTGATCATTATGTACTACAAATAGGTACTAATAAAAAATAAAAATTGAAAAAATATATAACTGCTTATGTGAAAATAATTGATATAAAACTGTTCAGTAAACTATGCATATTTTAATGTTGGAAGAATGTTCCTTTTTCAAAGTAAAGTCAAAAGTCACTGATAAACTGTTCCCACAAGGGCCGGGGATTTAGCTCAGTGGTTTTGCCGCCTACTGTGCAAGCGCAAGGACCCGAGTTTGATCCCCGGTCTCAAAAAAAACCCAAAAAAACACAACTGTTTCCACAGATGTCCTAAAAGCCAGTCGATTGATGATGGTAAAATTAATCCAAAAGCCAGGCCAATCTAATTATTTTTCATATTAATTCCATCTCCTATTAAGACTTAAAAAGGAATGCTACATACTCTTACTAGTATAAATATTTTGTGAATTACTACATTTTTCTACTTCTAAAGTGTTCTCAAATGCACACAATCTTCCTATGTTGGCAAGAATGGACTTGCTAACTTTAGACTTGAACGTATATGTTAATAATTCATGAGAAAAATCATTATGGAATTAGTTATATTTTAAAAATAAATGATAGCTAATATATTTAGTTGCCAAGATCCTCTCCTCACCTCACTTTCATATTTCCTTTCTCATCAAGAACAAAAACATGCATTTATACTGTATTGATATATTTTAATAATGCTATCTTTTTGTTGGTAAAGAACTTTTCTGAACTATGGCATCAACATCTACTTATAATGATGATAATGACAAATGGACAGATCTGTTGGAATCTGCCTGCCTGACTTGTGACTCCAGGCTCTCTCCATTACTTTCTAGCTGTGCAACCTTGAGCATCATACCTCTGTGAGCTGTTCCCATTTGTAAAATGGGTATAATAATTAAAACTACTACTTGGTACAGAAGTAAAGAGTAAATATGATCATATATATTCATTAATTCCTCAGTACAGTGTCTGCTAATAAATATACACTATTTTATATACTTTGTAAACACATTCTATTACTTAAAATGCCTACTCAACTCAGATACTCCTATAAGGGAGAGACAATGTTTAATCAATGCACAAACTGACCTGAAATTATAAACTGATATTAGCATAAATACAAAACTATCAAACTGGGAAAGATCTCAAAGATCACCAGGGCAAATCTCATTATTCAAAAGATTAGGCTATGAAGGGATAAGAATGGGAAGTGACTTGTCCAAAGTCACACTCCTAACTGGAGGAGGAATCAACAGAAGAATTTAGGCTTTTCCATATTCTTTATAGAATATACAATGCCTTCTGCTGATCAGTTCTGGGGTTATCTTTTCTCTATCTTTATACTTTATCATCACTGTGCTACTCAGATTTCCCTACACATACCTCTTGTAAAAATCTAAATATATACATAACTGGCCCCTTCAAAACGTTTTGTAAAATCTTGGGCATGGTGACATACTAGGAAATTTTCAAAAGACCTAATACACTAGTAGTGGTGATGCACACTGGTAGTCCTAACTACTTAGGAGACTAAGGCTGGAGGATCACTTGAACCCAGGGTTTAGGGTGACACAGCAAGTCCTTGCCTAAAAAAATAAAAAAAGGAAAGAAACTGATTATTAGCTGAAGCCATATGACATGCATTAAGAAGGCATTCACATATTTCTTTATATCAAAGTCACAAAGGTGGGGAAAGGGCTGAGACAAAAAAACAAAAAGTATATCTTCTGATTACTATTTCTAGGTTAACCATGGACTTTAAGAGACTCAGGGGACTGAGGATGTAGCTCAGTGGTGCCACGCCTGCCTGACAAGTGCAAGATCCTGAGTTAGATCTTTGCAAATAAATAAATAAATAAATAAATAAGAGACCCAGAAACTCAAAAGGCAGCTTTGCAATCATTTAGACAACCATCCTAGGCACAAATACTCCCATTTCTTTCAGGCTCAAATACCTTAAATAGGATCAAGTAAGTCCTATAGTTAGGAGATATAAAATATAAGCAAGTATATTTACAGTAATTACAGTTTAAAAAGAGGAACTGAAAAGCAGCTGCAATGTCCACTGTCATGTGTTCTACTTCCTTGGAGAAAGCAAAATCAGAGAATGCTGATGAAACTTGCCTTATTCTCAATCTTAAGTTTGATTCAGTTTTCCTAGTTACTGTTGGGAACAAACATAAGTTATCTGAATAACCTTCTTTGCTAAGTCTTTTATCATCAAATTAGCTATTCTCTATGTCTAGGGGCACAGTCACGTGACTAGACTTAGTGTCTCAGGATACTGATAAGCCTGCACAGGAAAACAGAACAGTTGACTCACTAAGCAGTTATCTTGGATCTGGAATTTGGAAAAGGGTACATGACTATTTACTGTCTACATTATAATTTCAGTCAGCAGTGGACTGCTTCATGCCTGAGCTTAACATTCCTTTACAGACTTTTCGCAAATACTTTCACATAGTGAAGAATATGAATTTAAAGTACACCTTGGAAATTTTCCAAAGGCCTAATATTCAGCTACACACAAAACAGCTTTGTATAAAAAAACATTAATTCAAAAGGCTGACTACATAGACAATAGCAGCAGGGAGGCTAGACTGTATAGAAATTTTAGTGAATGTTGTGAGTGAAATAGGGAAGAAAGGAACCAAAGCACAGCTTAACTCTAATTAACTGAGCAACTGAAAGAATTCAAAGTGGAACTAAATAGATGCAGGCCACCTAATGTGGGAGTAAGGGTGGAACAAAGTGGTGAAAGTAAGAGGAAGATATAAAGTGGCTAATATAGAGCTAATCACTGAGTGTCAAAAAATCCTATTTAAAACCAAAAGGGAGCCAGGCATTGAAGTGCATGCCTACAATCCCAGCTTAAAGGCTGAGGCAGGAAGATCAAAGGTTGCAGCCAGCCTGGGCTACACAGTGAGACCCTTTCCAGAGATAGGGTGAGGGAAAAGAAAAGGAATGGGACAGGGAAGCAAGGGAGGGAGGGAAAGAGAGTGGGAGCATGAATGAATCATTTTATAGTCATTCATGTGTTGAACTCTCCAATAGGTCTGGAAATAAGCTGAGGGCAGGCATTATATCATCTTTGTAAACTCTTTACTTGTACAATGAGAACCATATGGTGATGTATTCACCATTTTTCAGCGCAACCTTCAGTATGCACACAATCTGTAAAGCTCAAACCTTTCAAGAAAAACTCTCCAAAGACCAGATTTGGGCAGCTAACAAGTTTGAAGTCAAAGTGTCCACAGATACAGCATAAGAGAAAACACTAATTACTGAAAGAAATAAAGCCTTGCCTGTCTTTGAAGACTTTTATCTCAGGCTGAGATATAGATATCTATATCTATATATAAAATGTTTAAGGCTAGGGGATATGACTGTAGTCTTTCACACTGATCTTAAGCTTTAAAACTTACAAAGTGTAATTTCACCGCTATTATTCATTCAACAGACACTTTCTGAGCACTCAATATGTGCCAGGTACCATGCTGAGTGCTAAATAAAACTGAACAACGTAAGTAGTTGCTTCCCGTCAGGGCTTATAATCTAGTAGATTCAATGTACAAAGACAGTCATGGGAATAAGGAAGAGAGAGCCATTTATTCTGCCCGGGGCTGTGGGAGAAGAGAAAGCATCATAAAAGATGACATCCGAGCTATGTTTTGAATGATGCTGCAACTAAATCACTAGGTACTGGTTTTAAAGTGTCACTGTTTGGTCACCATAGAAAAGAAAGTCTCATTCTGGCCCCAGATGACTCCCATAACTACTGAAGCAGGCAGTGTCTTCAGCAATCACCCCCATTTATTGAAGAAACTGTGACTCAGAAAGCAAAGAGCGAAACACTGAGTCACACCGAGCAACGAGTGTCACGGGAGATGCTGGGCCCAGGTCTCAGATCCACAGACTCGGCAGAGTTGTGAGCTCTACCCAGATTGGGGAAGTCTAAGCACCGGGATCTGGCAAGAGTCAGGACCCGGAAATTGAGGTGAGGCCAGGGAAGAGATCTACCCCCTACAGCCATCCTCCGGTCTCAGCCATGCTGTCTGGCCCATGCTTCTCAGTCACTCACCCGCCCCTCGGAGAGAGGAAGTCAGTGTCGTCCTCGTCCCCGGCACCGAACATAGCGTTGGCTTTTGCCCGGGACGCGTAGAGGCCGGATGTTCCCGGGGCCTGTCACCGCGGACGTCGTGAAACGCCGCGTCGGCGTGGTGCTTTCCGGCAGGGCAAACTCCTGCACACCAGCTCACCCTAGAGGAGACTGGATTCTAGAGAAGGTGGAGCAAAGGCAAATGAGAGGTCGAGCGACTCGTGGCGTAAGGCCTCTCCAGCCCGAAGAGGGGGCGGAGTTCCGAGCATGTGTGCGTGGATTGGGCGGCGAGCCTAGGGGTCGGGGAAGGGGCGGGAACCCGCGGCCTCTGTGGCAGTGGTGGACACGTCGAGCTGGACAGAAGTGACGGGGCTTCTGAGAAGTCCTGAGGGGGTGACCGATTCAAGTTCTGAGAGGGAGGAGTCTCTGGCTGAATTCGACCTGGGAAGGTAAGGCCTCCCGCTCCCTTTCACAACACAGGAATAGGACCGACCTTTCTCCTCCGGGACAGCGACCCTCCGCCGCCGGTCTCTGCTGGGCGGAAGGAGAAAGAGCCTGGGACTAGACGTCTGGAGACCTGAGCCTTGGCCTGGCCCGTACGCCGCACAGCCGGAGTGACCTTAAGCAGGTTGATGGACACCTTAGCTTCCCCCTCTATGCAATGGCCCGTGTGTCTAGTGCCTCCAAGTGCCGGCTTTGTCGAGAAGCTTTTAAACCTGAGAGATCATTGAATCCAATCTCAGTCTCCTCATAATCCCAGAATTTGCAGATAAGGAATTGAAGGAACTAACCACTTAGGTGACAGAATAAAGGGCAGACTAGGGGTAGGTTCCTGGTCTGTTGATTCAGGATTTAGCTAACTGGTGGGTGAATGAAAGCCTTACTAGTCCTAAGCACCGTGTGTCCTTAGAGAGTGATTATTGCTAGACTATGACGAACGGCTTGAGGAAAGACCCCTTTCTAGAGTCCACACAGGAGAAGTGCAGAAGAGCTGGGTATTCTGGAGGTGGGTGATAGAAAGGAGGAAAATTTGGAGGTAGAAAACTCCAGTCTAGCTTGGGCTTGGGTTTTGCTGAGTTTTTCTGTCCGGGTCCTAAGTCAGCATCAATTGTGATTGACCTTTTTGCCTCAGTTTCCATCGTCTTTATATTTTACATAAATATCTCTTCAGTCAACCTGGTGTCATTCTTGGAACAATCTTGTGTGAGGTTTAGCTTAGCCAAGCTGTAGATAAGCAGATAGTGTCCTAGTGTAGCATCCATTTCCACAGATCTCACTGGAGGACTTTCACCCAAGGGTCCCCCTCTCAGTCAGGTTGAGTCTACAGGTGTCTCTTACCTGAATGTTTTAATCCATCAGCGTGATACTGAAGTGACTGGTAGCTTCCTCCTAGGGGACTCGGTACCTCTTGGCACTTTCCCTGTTGAGGTTTTTATTATAGTTTGTATATTACAAAATTGTAAGCCTTCTTACCCATAAGGGGTTCTCATAAATTCTTTATTAGATTGAATAGTGGAATTTATTCTTTTTCCCGTATTCCTTAATAACTCTCCTAGATTTTTTTTCCCTGTGTGACCTAGAGAGCCCAGCAATGGCTCTTGTCTTTTATAGGTAGCTTCCAGAAAGATAAAAGTGCTGTACTGGCTGTGAGCTGTCTGGGTAACGTAGTTTCTTTTGTTAATTGAAGGTGATTGTACTATTGTCTAAAACTCTAGGGGAAAGAGTAGAGGGGAATAGGATAGCTAGAAATATTATATGTAACTGTAATTTTTATAAGTAAATTTTTTCTGTTTAACTGAGGATGGGCCTGTTGGCCTGCTTCTTATTTTACAGATTAAGATGGTTAAAGCAGTAAAAGCTGACAGTGTTAAAACAATAATACACTAGACTGGAACCTTTTGCTGTAGACCTGTTAGAATGTGAACTTCACTACCTCTCCACAGGAAAACAATGAACTGGATACGTAACCTTTCTAATCCTTCTTCCCAGTATGTGTCATTCCAGCATAGAAACATTTTGATGGTGCTTTTAAAAACTGCCAAGGACACTTTTGAGCTCTTATCTTGCATTCTTGGGTGGAGATATTTTTTTCTGTGTGGTGTTTAAGTAGCATATTTTACATATTCAGAAATCCTAAAGTTGGCCTTTTTGGTGTTGAAACTACAGACTGTTGTGAGAACACAGCTGCTGATTCTCATTGATGGTACCAAGAAGAAAAAAATGGAAAGCCTTTGTCAGTCTTTCAGGTTTAGAACTGCAGGTTTGGGTGCACTTGAAAAGCCACTGCCTTCCTGAATTGGAATATTTCCAGACTGAAATAAGGACTAAAACATATAATAGATGTTGAGAAATGGGAAGAAAGTGTTCAAATGGGAAGGGGAATAGGGAGGAGGGAGAGAGAAAGGAAGAAAGGGACAAGAAAATAAGTGAAAATAGGAAAAAATGGACACAAAGCTTTTGTATGTAGGGAGGGGAGGGGCTTGTGGGGGCAATGGGATAAAATTTATTTTAAGAAAAGAATATTTCCAGTCTGGTAATACTGGAGTAGGAATTAGGAAACCTTAATTCCTCTCCCAGCCCTTCTAATTCACTCTGAGTTTAGCCCATGCTCCCTAAACACTCAGTAGAAGAAGTGGATTAGAACTAGATACATCTGAGTATTGCTAGGGATACAAAGATAAGTAGGGTACAACTCCATCTGAGATTTGAATGAAATATTTATTTGTTTACTTAAGTATGCAGCGCTTACATGTATTCATAAAATGTATTGATCTCCTGAAGATTGACTGGAGAGCAGCAATTTTAATAATTCCTTTCAAATTATTGGTAATTTTGTGTCAGGAATGACAAGGGAGGGTTTTTTTTGTTTTGGGGGGTTGTTTTGTTTTGTTTTGTTTTGTTTTTTGTTTTTGAGATAGGGTCTGTGTAGTTCAGGCTGGCCTTGAACTTGTGGCTGTTCTCCTGCCTCAGCCTCCTGGGTGCTGGGATTACAGGCACATGCCGCCACACCCAGATCAGGGATGAGTTTTATACACAAGTACACCCATACTAACCTCTATTGCTGAATGCATTTTAAAATAATCAAGTTACGTCATAAGTGTAGTATAGGGTTATGAGTTGAATAGGTTAGGGGGTTAGTATAGTGTTTTGTTCACTCACACTAAGAGCGAAAGAATGCCAATGTTCAAAGCCAGGCATTGGCTGGGAGTGCTGGTTCAGGCTTGTAAACCCAGCACTAGGGAGGCTGAGACAGGACTATCACCATGAGTTCCACACCAGCCTGGGCTACAGAGTAAGTTCAAGGCCAGCCTAAACTACACACCAAGACCCTGTCTCAAAAAAAAAAAAAAAAAGCAGGGCATGGTGGTACACACCTGTAATCCTAACAGGCTGAAGCAGGAGAATCATCTGGAGTTCAAGGCCAGCCTGGGCTACAAAGCAAGGTCAAGGTCAGCCTGAATTACATAGCAATACCCTATCTCAAAAAAACAAAAAGCCAGTGTACAATTCAAGAACTATGAACTGAAAGCCAACTATATGTAAAGCACTGTGATGAATATTATGTAGGATAAAAAAATGTCCTCAACGAGGTTATAGTCAAATAGGAGTAATTAGAATACACAAATAACCATGAAGAAGACATAGCCAAGTAGTGTAAGAAGAAGAAATTAATTTTAGGATTTCAGAGGAGGAAGAGATCATATCTAGTCTGAAGAGATGACAGAGTTAGATAATGGTCTTTGAAGATGAGTAGGATTTCAAATAGATGGGAGGAAGTAAGGCTTTCCGAGTTGAAGTGGCAGCTCTGGCAAATACAAAAAGGCAGGGGAAAAAAGGCACAAATTCCTTACAAGACAGGAGGTGCCCTCATATTACAAAGTTAGGACCATTAATTGGTTAACCCTCCCCCCCAAAAAACTTAAAGTAGGGAATCATATAGGTATTAGTTACTCATATATTTTATACTTCTAACAAAATATAAATATTCTTTGTCCTTCTTTTAACCTAAGCCCTCAGCCTTTTCTTGGAGTGTGGATCTCAGGGGTTGTCATCCAAATTTTATCTCAGGCTTCTACCTGTTTTGATGTTTTACTGAAACAACTATGTTCATTTATTTACATATTATCTATAGCTACATCCTATAAAGCAGAATTGAGTAGTTATAGCAGTAACCATGTGGCTCACAACACCTAAAATGTTTACTATTTGGCCCTTTATAGAAGAGTTTACCAATCCCTGACCTATATCTTTTATGGTTCTTTAACACACAATAACTAAATTCACTTGCAAAGCAGTCTGAGTACAGAATCTTTCTAGGTGTTTATAAAATTTCCTCCCAGCCTTGATAGTGACTTTCCCACACCTAACAACAGCTTGTATGTGTCTGTATGATTCACCTTTATCTATTCTTTCCAAAGCATTCAACTTGATTTTCATAAAAAACAACTACTATAGAGGCTAACGTAGAATAATAGTTATAGTCGTAAGCTCTGGAGTTAAATTGCTTTGCTACTTATTGTGTTGGCCATGGGCAAGTTGCTCAGTTTCTCCCTCTGTAAAACAAGCATAATGATAGTATCATTTCTTAGGGTTCTTGTGAAGACTATGAGTTAATTCACATAAAGCACTAAGAATAATGCCTGGCAGGTAGTAAGTACTCATTAGTGTTAGGTGCTCCTATCATTTTTCTCATTTATACTTCATTGCTTTACATAGTACTAAGTTAAATTATATATTTACAACAATAACTGGCATGAATTGTTCTGTGAACAAACACAACTGGCATAAATTGTTCTGTGCACGAGCACAACTGCACCCTTGATAAGAACATAACTTCACTGAGGGGAAGAACAGAAGTGTTGATCCTGTAATATTGGAGAACACCCTAGCCAATGTGTTGTCGGTTTTTGTTTTGTTTTGTTTTGTTTTTTGGTACTGGGGATTGAATTCGGGTCCTTGTGCTTGCGCAGCAGGTGGCGAAACCACTGAGCTAAATTCCCGGCCCTGTTGTCAGTTAAGTTGATTAACAGAGTGGAATAGTTTATAAAGACTATAACAATACACACAGAAAAGTTGTATATTAAAATTGAAAAAGGAATCTCACAACCATATTTGCAGATACCTTGAAGGCCAAGATGACAGCTTTGCACTTAAATCAGTAGAAATGGAATTTTTCATTCTTTTTTCTTCTGGTACTGGGGATCAAACTCAGGATCTTGCGCTTGTGAGGTAGGTGCAGTGCCACTGAGCTAAATACCCGGCCCTGGAATTTTTCATTCTAAATGACATGATTAATGGAAAAAAAAATCAAATGGCTTAGGAATGTATCAAGTAAAAACTAAATGTTTGCATAGCCCCACTCCTTGTGAGAAGTCCCTTCATTTTTTTCTAATAATCCCTTGAACATGAGGTTGTGAGGATTAAATGAGATAAAGAGCATTTAGGGGGC